ATATATATAATAATATATAATTTTTTATTTTATTTTTTTAATGTAATTTATTCCTGTGATGACAAAGATGGATTTTCAGCTTCCATTACTTGCTGGAAATTTCAGAAATCATTTTAATATGCTGATTTGGTGCTCAATTATTATCAATTATCATTGGTGCTCAATTATTAATAATGGTATTATTATCATTGTTGAAAACAGTTTTTGCTGCTTAATATTTTTGTGGAAGTCATCTTTTCAGGATTCTATGATGAATAGAAAATTAATAATAGCATTTATTTGAAATAGAAATCTTTTGTAACATTATGAATGTCTTTACTGTCACTTTTGATCAATTTAATGCTTCCTTGCTGAATAAAAGTGTTATTTTTATAATTATTTTTAAAATCTTACTTACCCCATACCTTTGACCAGTGTTTTAAGTAATTTTTTTAGTTATCTTCCTAAATAAGTGTGTGTGTTCCCCACAGGTGTGCTCTCATCTCTTCTGAAGCTTCACCACGGCCCTCACCTGCGTGCTCCACTGTTTCTCCTGTGAGTCGTCCTGGGCTGAGCGGCCCTTCCTGCTCTGCCCCCGCGCCGTCTCTCCCGCCACGGTCGCCATGACGCGCTCCAAAACCTTTCAGGCCTACCTGCCCAACTGCCATCGCACCTACAGCTGCATTCACTGCCGAGCACACCTGGCCAACCATGATGAGCTCATCTCAAAGGTAAGCAGCAGTGTCTCTTTTACGCTCTTTTATCTTAATCATAGACCTTAATCAGGTTAGACACCGTATTGTATTTTACGCAGATGAAAACGAGGCTGTGAGAGATAGACTTACAGTCTTTACAATGGTATGCACTGTATAAGGGTCCTAGTAATTTTCAAAACTGTTTTATGGATTTTTGTCAATTGAAAGTCTTCGGTAAGATGTTTTGTCAGCTGAACAATCGGTATGTTCTGTAAAAACACTTCTGTACAATCTATCTTAATGGACATCCTGTTAAAGGGTCATGAAACATTATGTGAACACTGGGATTTTCAGATGAGTTGTTGTAACTGTGTCAAAATGTATCTGTGTATTTGTAATATGAGCTTAAAAAATGTTTAATAATTTTTCATATATGTATATTGCATTATATGTATGTATTATGTATAGCCTACCGTTGAAGAGTTAAGAATTTTTTTTAATTTTTTTTTTAGAAATTAATAATTTTGTTCAGCAAGGACTCATTAAATTGATCAAAAGTGACAGTAAAACTGACATTTTTAATGTTTCAAAAGATTTCTATTTCAAGTAAGGTCGGTCTGCCGATTCAGAGCCGGTCCGTTTTGTTTTACACCCACATGCGAAATGTTTATGTTGTCAACGTGAAGAAGACACAAAGTTCACAATTTGTAATACGTGTAGGGCCAAAGTAAACAGTGGGGAACCACAGGGCTCGATTAACGCTTGTCTGGGACAAGTAGTTTTTTAAAGGCCAGTGAGAGAGAATATTACTTGCCAGACCGGACAAGAAGCCTGATTAAAACGTCAATAACAAACGTAACTAGGAAAGCACTGACACTTTCGAAATTTTTTGCACGAGAATGATTCTGATTTTATCGCATTCATTGTAAACGGCTATTGGTAATATGTTTATGTGGCAGATGAGGCTCGCAAGTGAGAGAGAGAGAGACTTGTGCAGAAATCAAAACAAATGAGTGCAAAAGCACACATAAAGTAACTCACAGAAAGTTATAGATGCATACTGCGGTTGAAAAAAAAAAGATATTTATAATATATAAGTAAGCAACATTACACGACTAAGATGTTTCCCCGAATATCAACATGATCGCAATGTTACACTGATTTTATACAATAGTAGTTCAATAAACAAGAAGTTAAAATTAAGTGACTTACATTTTAGACACAATATTGACTGCTTCTGCTCAATTTCGCAAACAAAAATAGTTCCACTCAAAGCCACAGCAGAACTGTTGTGTTTCTCCCAACAACACAGTAGTGTTTTGTTAATGAATGAATCCACGTTTTTGAACGGATCGAGTGAGTCAGTGATTCAGAAACCCAGTCATAAAGACGTGCGCTGTGTTTGAAACCGCATACATCCCTACTATATAGTAGGCAAAAAGCAAATAAGTATGTCCGAATCCTTAGTATTCATAGAAGAGTAGGCGAGAATTACCTGCATGGTGTACTAATTCTCATGAGATTCGGACATGCGTATACTTAAGTTGCTTTCGAATATGCCTACTTGCCTACTATATATTAGAAGAAAAGAGTATACGTGAAAAGAGTAGCATGTCCGAAACCGTAGTATTCATAAAAGAGTAGGCAAGAAATCCCTGGATGTCCTACTGCTTCAGTCCAAATTCTGAAGTGCTCGTCCGATGGACACTTTTCTATCCCAGGAGGCCACAGGAGAGGATACGTCAAAACTGAACAGGATGGAGAACAGCGACGCGGGTGTTTTCAAATGTGAGTATTAGAAACCAAAAACACGGTTCCTTCTGTTAAAATTGCATTTGTTGAGCTACTGTAGCGTAAACTGTTGAATTGTTGAAGATGTAAAGACGCTAACTAGTATAGTATCTTTGTGATTTTGCTGTAAAAACACGTTTTATTACGTATAGCGAAACAGGGAAGCTCCAGTAAGCACACATACGTCTCCAGAGTGCATTTACATAAACCATATAGATCTTAACGACGCATACTTAATGTCTATTTAACATCTGACAGGAAAATGTTTGATAAGAATTGCATTGTCTGGATGTTACAGATGAGACACACGTGTGTTTATCCAGTGCAGAGTGACTGATGAAGGAATGCTGCCATCAAAGGCTTTGAGTGAGTATACTACAGAAATGAATAAAACATCTTTTTAAATCTTAACTGTAATAATCAATGATTGTAATTTCAAACAGAGTTATTACAGCACTTCTGATTCTTGATTTCTGTGCTGTTGCTGCAGAGCTTTTGTGGTGGAGCAGGGCCTGTAAGGAAATGTGACGGCAGCATTTGTGGAAAAAAAGGGGAAAACCTGAAACAAAAATATAAAGTAAGATAATTTTGTTACTTTTAATACAGAGATGAAATGACATTGTGCTGTTAAAATGACTGCTTTTGTATTATGTTCGTGCATTTTTTGTAGGATCTGAAATGTCCGCAGATTGGTGTGTGCACTGAGGATGGGGAGTCCTCAGCAGCATCCTGGAAATGGTCTAGTGCCATGGATGAGACCCTCCATCACTCCACCTGCCCTTGTTACCTCATCTGGACCAGATGTTGCTGTGGCCTCTTCATCCTCAGTGAGCCCAGAGCCAGCGAGAGCATCTAGAGAAAGACCAAAAGATTTGTCAGGTTTGTTCTGCTGGTTTCTGTTCATACAACATCAGTCAATAGAGCCCGAGTTTCAGAAGCTTCAAAAGCATCATCAAAAAATGTCATGAAGCTTCTGAAAATCAGGCTCCATTGACTGATATTGTATAAACAGAAACTAGCAACCACCAGGACAAACTTGACCAAAATCACCTTTTGTGTTGACAAAAAAAACCCGGATTGAACAGCGTGGAGGCGAGTAAATGATGACTGAATTTATATGTTTGAGTGAACTAACCCTTTAAGCCCCCCAAATAGAAATTGTATGAAATTTATTTATGCATTTATATTATAGTAGTACCTTGAAGAAATAAACTTTAAGAAATTACATATAAGCAGCTTTGAGCGTTTGTGCCCAAGACACTTACAAAAAAGGTTTTTACAAAAATCACATTTACATTTATATTTCTGCATTTGGCAGATACTTTTATCCAAAGCGACTTACAGTGCTCTTATTACAGGGACCCCCAATTCCCCTGGAGCAACCTGGAGTAAAGAGCCTTGCTCAAGGACACCCTGGTGGTGGTGGCTGCAGAGATCGAACCAGCAACCTTCTGCTTACCAGTTCAGTGGTTTATCCCACTACACCACAAAAGTAATGAAGCTATAACACAAATTAATCATAAATGCTATTGGTTCATTCACTGAGGGGGAAAATTCTGTTCGGTGCTGCTGCACCAGTTGCACACCCCTAAGGACGGCCCTGGACACATCTTCACATGCATTCACACAAAATGACACGATATCAATTAAACCTTCTTCATATCCATTTACAGAACTGTATATACTTAATGAGTGCTGTTTGTGACACAACAATGTATGCAACCTTACCTATTAAGGTAAATACTGTATATATGAATGCTTGGGTAAGTGTTCAGCATAACCCATTGATGTTTGGTCTTCATATTTTCAGCACATTGTGTAGGTAATCTGTAATTATGCATAGGAAAAACCTTAAAGACACTGTTCTAAATGTGGACTTTAAGCTATGCAAATAGACCTCATGCCAGAGAGGGGCCATGCCATGACAGCATCGGTCAATCAAAGCGCTGGATCTGAAATGTGCCAACTTGCAAATCCCTCCTTCTCAGGAAAGGTTAAATGGTTCTCTTCAAGAAAAAGAAGTGTGCTAAGTGTCGTTGCTCTACTGTAAGTGCTAAGCTAAGTTGCTCCAAGCAGAAACAAGGAAGATCTGCAAGAAGCGAATTTGGGGAGTTTGGAAACGGCAACAGCAGCAACGACCACAAGCTTAGTGCCCCCCATCTTCAGCAACAACTTCAGCACCTTCTCTTCAGCGGTCCTCCATTTGAGTGTTCCAAACTGCTAGGATCTTCTCCAACAACGATTTGCATTAGATTCTATATAACCGATGTCAGATAACAACAAATAATCTCTTGATTTATTTGTTGAAACTAGAATAAGGTTTACCTTATTACTTCCAGGAAACTTCAGTTTATCTTTCCATAAGATGACGTCCATAGTAACATCCAACTCAGTCACTTGCATCTATCAATCTTTTGCACTTTATCCATTCAGTGTACCCATTTATTAGTTGTTAGTTGCTCTTGTCTATCCTTTTGTTAATAAAACCCCTTTTATAACACTTGTGTCTTCCTTGTGTTGATAATACAGTAAGAGGCTCTACAAGTTAACGATATCTCTCAAATCCTTTAGATTGGTCAGACTACAACTCTCTATGATTTATGTAATCCTCATTTATTCAACAATCTTCCATGATTGTTCTTTATTGTCAAGGTGAAATTACTTGGCTGGTCCCCCGTAAAATCGTGTGACAAAACTTAATATTTAAGCTCAAAGCCATTACACTGGTGGTGCTACTTAGATCTAAAACCACTACATGTAGTGGTGGCCCATGTGAGGCCATCTAACATTGAAATCACAACAATTATTTTTATTGCAGAACTTATTACATAAATGCATTTATTGCACCTCCGCTTTATCAAACAGTCTGTAAATGCATCTAATGCCACTTCAGATGCAGCTTCAGTTTCCTCTGCAGTGGAAAGATGGAGTTTGTTAATACTGATTTCATTTGAATGGTAACAACTCTACAGTTTCTTATTATTCTAACTGAATTTATTGATACAATGTAAGAATTTGATGTGAAAGATGACACATTTAATACGGTTAGGGAATAAAATGACCATTTATAAACGTAGTGGGAAATGACATCTGTTTTGTTA